TAACCAAATTAATTACATACAATAATAATTTTTTAAAATAACATTTGTTGGGAGAAGGTACAAGGAAATTCTTTCAAAAACCAAAGAAGGCAACTATCAGTGAAGAAAATTGATTCAGGCAGCTGCTTTTTCAGCAACAAAGGGAGTTTTGACCAGCAGCTCCCAGGCCCAAAGGATCTGACTTGGAAGAAATTCTTTTTAAAATATTTTAATATAGAATTATATTTTAGAAATTTAACTGTTAGTAAACTTAAGAAAATAGTCTTAAATCATTATATATATTTTCATGAAAATGCATTTAATAGACCAAAATTTATTACCTAATAAACATTAAAAGTCAATATTGAATATATATTGAGCAACTGATGAATTAGACATTGTTATGGAAATTAGAGCATTAATTCTGTTTTTATGTAGTTATTTCTCATTTTAATAATCATTTTAGATTATTCATGAGAAGCAAATCAGAGTATAGTTAACATTTTAAGATATATATATGTGTGTATGTGTATGTATATGTATAATTTTCTTTTTAACCAAGAAAAAAGTCTTGTTATTGTTTACAGAAAACAATGGATACTGTATTTAAAAAATGAATTTTAAGGTAAATATTAACTTGATTGGCTAACAACCTGTGCAACATGTCTCCAACTTCAAAGGCATTTTTACCAACAATTTAAGTTAATACAAGCCGTGTTAACAAAGGCACTGGGCTAATACTAGCATCTATTTATCTATAAACGAACTTAAATAGAACTTTTGGATGATACATCCACCTAAAAGTTAATGCAGAGAAACACAAATATTAACCTAAACTATACATCTTTAATGTTGCAAAACTTTAAAGTTCTTATTTGCAAGTTTTATGTAACTTGAGTTCAGTTTAAACCTTTAATGTTTTGAGTTTGAGAACACTTAAATATCTGTATAACTAGTTATTTTTAATGGAAGACCCTAACAGAGCCAGAAGTCTGAAAGTGTAAAAATAAACATCAAAAACAAAATTGATATGAGATAAAAAATTTTTTTTCATGAAGTACCTGCAGGTACTTTTACCAATTATTAAAAACAGATTAGCAAGCAGACAGACAAGAGAACATATAGCACATATGAAAAAATTACATTAAATCAGGATGCACTTTTAGATGTATTGACTGTGTTAAATTATAGTAATTCTTTTTCTTAATTTTAGGTTTATAACTACAGACTAGTCAGAATTCTCCCTAGGGGGCATCAATAATAACTTTGTTAATGTAAATTACACTACACTGAGTACAATTCCTCCCTGGTAACATGGCAGACTTAAAACTAACAAGAGAAAGGGGAAAGAGAAAAAGAGCTGTAGATTGCTACATGGGATCTTTGTTCATTTCCCTTTTTTATTTTAAAACCAAGTTTGAAGACTTTTAACCCACATGTAGAGAAATGTAAAGAAAAATCAAACTTTTCAAACCTGTCACTTAAATTGGTCCCAGTTTTGTAAAATACAACCTCGAGGGAACATTTTGGGGGCTAGACACTGAATTGTCTATAATCGCTTAAGATGTACCACACACCTTCACATTCTCCCTCCATGCGCTTTGTTTCTCTTATGTACTTTTGGCACTCTCTTTACGATGCAGCTCAAGAGGGGAATGTTTGTCCCCTTTCTCTCTCTCTAGCGGAGACCAGCACTCAGACTGAGGAGGAGGGAAAAACTGCTGGGCCAGTCCTGGCAAATCGCTGAGTGACCATCTAACCCTCCTCCTCATTAGCAGAAAACAGAGGACATGTGCTTTTGATCCCCTCCCTTGGCTGCTGGCTGGAGAGGAGGGCGGGCTAGCAAGCAGTTGGGCCTTTGTTGATCCAGTAGGTTGGGCATGATTTTATTTTCCTCCTCCTTTTTGATCAGCATCAGCACACAGGAGGGACACCCTGGGTGGGCACCTTCCTTTCCCACCTGGGTGAGGCCTAGTCACTTATCCCAGAGCTGTGATCAGATGTCCTGATAATATAGGGGAATGAAACTCGACCTACTACATGGCCGGTATGAGTTTCTGTTTTCTAAAATCGAAGAATGAATTTTAGGAACAATGGAGGTTAAGAGCAGAATATATTTACTAAGAGAAAGAAAGCTTCTGTCTGAGGGACAGAAGGTATATCCAGCGGGTTGCCAAGGACTCTGTCTTTTTTAGGGACTTTTATAGAGTAAAACCATGGGGTGAGATGGGTTTAAGTGGGGATAGCTGGAAACTCGCAAGGCATAGGGTGGACAGGACTATGGTTAATCAGTAAGATTATTTCTCAGGTAAAATTGATTAAATTGGGGAAGTAGAAAAGCAGGGTAGGTAGAAAGCGGACATTCTTACAGAGCAGTGACTCTTCTCTAGGGGGTTGGGACGACAACTTCTGACTTCCTCAGGGTAGTAGTAGGGAATTATGTAGAATATCAGTCCTTAGGATATGGGTGCATTTGTTTGATCTTTTGTCTTGAGGCCTGGCCCATAGCAGGAGGTGTCTGTCTCCTCTACAGTTGCAAGGTATCTTCTGGGCTTCTGCACTGGCTCCTTAGAGGACATCTCACTGCCTATAATGTTTTTAACTAACTCATCTGCCTGTAACTGTGAGACCCCTTGCCCCTAGGGATCCCTCTTCACCCTCTAGCTCCCTGTCTCTCATTGCTACTAAAATCAGAAACAGTTAAAGACTCTGAGTTTCCTGAGAGATGAAAGCTCCAAAGTGGAAACAGAGAAGGACAAAAAGAGTTTGGAATCTTTTAGGGGAAAGTGGGAGAAAAGAAAAAAAAAGAAAACCAATGGACTTCTCAATTTGAGTTCATAGACTCTACCAGGTCCTAGATATAAAATTAGTTATCACTCAAAGGAATGCTGAATCTGCCAACTATCTGAGAAACTTCGCTGGAGGCACTGGGTGGGTCGATCTTTATTTGTGTCTTTCTGATGAGCATATTTTATTTCCATCTGAGCCAGCAATGAGGTGTGTTGGCCTGAGGGAATACCTAATGAGTTCACTAGTTGTCATAGAATTATACTTGACACATCTTCCATTTCCGCCAGTGCCTCTTATCTCCAGTGCTTTTATATGTAAGCACTCATTTTTCTAGGGACTTGAGAGCCTCTAATTCTGAGAAGAAAAGAGAAGACAAGGGAGGAGAGGAGGGGAGGGGAGGGGAGAGGAGGGGAATGGAAGAGAAAGGAAGGGAAGGGAAGGGAAGGGAAAGGAAGGGAAAGGAAGAGAGAAGAGAAGAGAAGAGAAGAGAAGAGAAGAGAAGAGAAGAGAAGAGAAGAGAAGAGAAGAACCTTAAGGCTACATAGGTTTGCTGGGGGCAGGGGCTGTGCTTCAGAAGCAAAGTGTTGGGGAAAGTGGTGAAGAAACAAATGAGAAGTATTTGGCTAAATTAATTGATTCTGATGCCTCTTTTGCCTGCTGGGTGGCTCACTAAAAGAAATGTCAATGGACAGAGTTTAAGGAGATTATTAAAATGGTAATAAGGAACCTAAGCTTGGCCTACTCACAAAACTTTGCAGGTTCACTGACTTCTGTCACAGAAAAACAATTTGCAGGATGCACTAGGAAAAGGCATTAGGGGTTAGGCAGAAATTTAAAAGCATACAGGCAAAGAAATAGAGTTCAGGCAAGAGTGACAGAGACACAGGCAGAGAGAGAAGGGGGAGGGGACCCAAATCCCCTTTCCTGGAACTTGGGACATTTATGCTTCTGTTAAGAGGTTGGACACCCCAAGAAAATATGGCCCATGCCTCAGAAAGGTACTAGTCCATTTTACAAGTGTAAGCCCTGTTCTTTTTTTTTTTTTTTTAAGATAGATTATTTAAGAAGTCTTTTGAATTTTTCCAACCTGTTCTTTTATTTTAGGAACTTCCTGCTCTGCTCCTTCCTTTTTCTTTTTATTTTAATCTAAGCTGATTTATGGACTTACAATACTCTTTAGGAATTTGGGGTGTGATAGGTTGGAAAGGAAACAAGCCTAAATTAATTAAGGGAATGTAAATATGGATAGCTTTCAACTGGGCCCCAAAAGTTGTTGTCTTTAGAAAGTACTATTTATAGTTATGGCTGTCCTTGTCTCTGTGTACCTGTTTTATTTCTTTTACTCTACCTCTGACTTACGAAGATAATAAGAATTCTCAAAAAGTATGCACATAAAGACCGCACTGCCTACCATGTACACCTCTCACTTCGAATTTTGAGCTTGAGATTTCTCCACAAAAGGGACAGGCATGGGGAAGCCCAGCCAGGAAGGAGCATCATGCCTAGGGCAAGCACAGCAGGAAAAAAAAGGTTACAAGCCTGTATCTGCCTTCCCTACTGCACAGGCTACAGCTTGGGAAATGGAGAAGTGAAAAGAAAAAAGAGGTCCTTAGACTTGGCTGAAGACAAGGAGAGACCCAAACAGAGTAAAGTCACAGGTCCTTAATTTAAGCTGCCTCAATTAACATTTGTTCACACATGCATTTAAAATGCTGCTTAAAGAATAAATGAAGTTAATTTCTCTTTATGGGTTCCCTTTCATCTCAGGTTTCAAAGCATTTTGCCACAAAAGATACTTACCTTTACTGTAAGTGTATGCGCATGCACATGTGTGTGTGTGTGTGTGAACTGTGCTGTTGTTTTATTTAAATATAAATTGAGAACCCTAAGTTTAAAGTTTGGTAAAGGCTTTTAAGCTTTTCAAAGAAGTACTAAAATAATCTTTGATTATTATAAGATCCCTGTGGCCAACCATGAACCACCCAACTAGAAAACCCTAGGTTACATGAAAGGCTAAGGCTCTGGCTGTTAATTAAAATCACCATTTAAACAAGGTGGGAGGCATGAAATTGGTGACTAGGACGTCTTCACCTCAGATGCAGATACACTCATGACTGACTCACCCAGGATGCATCGGATTTTCTCCAACAGGCATTTAGAAAAAAAAGAAAAGAAAAAGTCCCAGCTGCACGCTATTGACCCAGGAAACTGTCCTGGGTTATGACGCATCGCCGGCTTCCAGACACCTCAGCACAGCTCGGGTGCAGGAGGAGCCAGCATGGCCTCTTGTTGATGAAAATGTTGTTGGCAATATATTTTTCAGCAAAGTCTGAAAGGGATCTTCTGGGCTTCGGCATGTGAGTCATTAGTGGGTGTTTGGTTTTTGGACGCTGGGTTTGAGTCACCATCCTTCCTGCTGTTGGCTTTCTCCATCCAGGGGTAATGGCTAAAGTGAGATTAATGGAAAGGTCTGTTATGCTTAACAGTGGGTACCTGGATGTTGTTCAGTTGGCAATGGTATCAACAGTTAATTTTATGGTTCGTTGTTTTCTCTATAAACAAGTCTATAACATTTATAAATAACAGTGAAGAGGAAGAGGGGGAAGGGGAAGAATAAAGTTTTAGAGGATGTGACTGTGTTACACGGAAGTAGAGTCTAGTCAAAGTAAAAATAGACAACTGCCTGTTTGTCAGCTCCAGGAGGAAGGGGTGGCTGATGTTGACCAACAACTGCACAAGTGTCCAGCTGCTGCCCCAGGCACTCTGGCGTATTGGCCAGGGAATATGGAGGAGGAGGGCAGGGGCGGGGCTGCCTGTATTTCTAATTACTTTCAGAATTGAAAAGGACATCTTGACTTTGAAGAAACCTCTTCCTGATGACCCTCTCATTGGTGCTTGTCTGGTACCTTTTATTTCTAGGAAAACTACCTCAAAACCATCCAGACTTCCACGGCAGAGGATGCTCTATGAGGTCCTAGTGCTGGGCCAGCACCAGGTGTAAAACCACAAGCTTAAAAAATGACAAACAGACATTTTTGACTACACCAACAGCTGGTTTTTATTTCCTTTTCATTGACCAATAAATCAAACTAGTTAAGATGGCTGGATAAAAATCAAAATGTCTGTCAACCTAGATTTCAGTCGGGGACAGCATCCAGCCACTGGCATTCATTTAGCTTTTAGAAGGCAGAGAGATCCCTAAGTGAAAAGAACTCCAGCTTTTCAGTCTGACTGAGTGTAGAAGTCAAAGCTTGGTCTTTGAACACAGAAGGCTGGGGACTATGTGTCATTTCTAATATAGATAAATAGAAGACAGCTGTGGGTTCAGGCATTGTCACTATGTACAGCGTACTCCATGAAGATCGGAAAAACAGCCTGAGCTTTGGCATTCCAAATGTTAGCCAATTTACACAAACCTTTACAGAAATGATAAGGTAATGGAAACTCACTCTGCTGTGACTCTTGGGGTAGTAACAGATGAAAAAAGAAGTGTTTATTTGATTCAAAATGTTCTCATTTGGGGGGGAGGGGAACAGTGTACCATATCATCAAATAGAAAACAGATTACAAACTTGAAGTTGTTCTGATATAGGGGAATGAAACTCCCAACCTACCGTGCCCGTAAGTTCGTGTTCTCTAAAATCAAAGAATGAATTTTAGGAACAAGTAGGTTAAGAGTTGAATATATTTATTGAGAAAAAGAGAGCTTCTGTCGGAGAGAGACAGAAGGGTCCTGAGCAGGTTGCCAAGGACTCTTGTCTTTTCCAGGGACTTTTATAGAGCAAAATCATGGGGCGTGACAGGTTCAAGGTGGGGAAAAAACTGGGAAACTCACAAGGCAGTTGTGAGTCATAAGGTGGGACGTAACTATAGTCAGCCAATAAGATTAGTACTTTAGGTAAAATTGATTAAATTGGAGACAAATGGGGAAGCCAGTCACATGGAAAGCAGGAATTCTTAGAGACCCTTGACTCTTCTTTAGGGGGTTTAGCTTTCTCAGGGTGATAGGGAGCTATTTAGAATATCAGTCCTTAGGATGTGGATGCATTTGTTTGATCCTTTTTCTCGAGGCCTGGCCCACAGCTGGTGGTGTCTGTTTCCCAGACAGTTGCAAAGTATCTGGGCTTCTGCACTGGCTCCTTTGAGGACCTAGCCCTGTCTCACTGCCTATAATATTTCTAACTAATTCAGCTGCCTGCAACAGTTTCACTATGACCTTGACATTGGAAAATAAAAGGCTCCAGTGTTTGCAGGATGGTTTTTACATTAATGTCTCACTTTTTTATTTTTAAGATAATTATCTTTGGATATTACAAAAGAACTTCCTAAATAACTCATTTGCTTGTGGCATGTACTGCATTTTTGAAGATTATTGAGGCTTATTAAGTAAACTGTTAATGCATAGACCTTTTTATGATGCTTAACTAATCTAATATTCATGACATCTCTTTAAAAATTCTCTCAAAAAATCCAACACTGGCTGATAGAGTTATGACACTTTTTCAGAGTAACTCTGCTCTTATCTCACTTGATCTAGGATATTCCTTCTCAGAAAAGTGACTGAGATGTAATTCTCAAATCTTATGACAGCTCATCCCATGCAGTTGGCACTTGAGATGGCCAGGAAACAAATGCCCATGGGTCACACATCTTTGCTGTTTCTCTGCTTCACGAGACACAGGTTAGCAGTAAATCTGACCTGGTCCAAGCTGTGCCACCTGGACTTCTGCCTTGGAATTTTTCCAATTACAACCTGACAAAGAATCTTGTTTCTCTTGTTTAAGAACGTGGCTTGTGAATTTGGAGATGTGGTGGTCCTTTCCAAATACAGGAAGCCAATTTTCAAAGAACAACAAGTGAGCTCACACCTAAAAGAAATGACTGAGAAAGTACTAGGTGCACTTGAGTTTTGACTTCCTTTTATTTCTAAGAGTATGGGATTTAGCTCAGCGGCATAAGCACCTGCCTTGCAAGCAGGCAGTCATGAGTTCAATCCCTGGTACCGATAAAAAAGAAAAAGACAAAAAAAAAAAAAAAAAAAAGAGTATTCTCCTCACCACTTAAAGCGTAATCCTTTTTAATAATTATCTTTTTTATTAGCTCCTTCAAGTTTAGTTTCTAACACCAGGAAAAGTACTTATTAAATATATTGATCCATTTGATTGTAATAAAATGCATAAATTGCCAATTTATTTTTCTTAAAATTTGATCCAAGGGATTATAGGAAAGATATGTACTAGTAATTCTTTGCATTGTTAAAAATCTTTCAGCAAATGGCTAGCAAACACAAGTGTAGATCATGCTACTTGATTACCACTCTCGAGCTTGAAAATTAGGACATGTCATCCCTGACCTTCTAGGAGTTGAAAGTCTTGTTGGGGATATAATTAGCTTAGTTTCCATGGGAACTGATGTGTTTTGCTTACTGCAAGTTCCCCACTCCCTATTAGAAAGTGAACTACACAAAGCAAGCATATTGGTTTTGTTCATTGCTATACCCAAATATCTAGAACACAACTTTGCATATAGTAGGCCCTCAAGAAACATTTACTAACTGAATAAACAAATGTTTGACTCTGTTGAACTCCTGCTAGGTGTATTATCTCTTCCATGAGTACTAAGTTTCCATGTAGTAGGAAGCACAAAATCAAAGAATGGAAGATACATAATAAGGTAGGGAGGACAAAAAGCAAGGTCAAAGAGAACTATTGCAAATTTAACAACTTGGAAAATTTTGCTAACATTTATCTTTCAGGAGCTGATCAATAGACAAAAGTGCAGTCATAAGTCCTTGAATGACAGGGGTCCATTCTGAAGATTGTGTCCTTGGACAATTTCATTGCCGGTACCAACCTGATAGAGTATGCTAACACAAACCTACACGGGCCAGCCTCCCATCCACCCAGCTCTGTGGGACTGTCTGTGAATCCGAGCTATAAATCTGTACAGCATGTTACTGTACTGAGTTCTGTAGGCTACTGTAACACAGTAGTAAGTATTTGTGTATCCACACTTAGCTAACAGAAAAGTCACAGTAAAAATACGATATCAAATATAAATATGACACAGCTATGCAGGGTACGTGCATGAATGGAGCTCTGAGAACTGGAAATTGCTCTTGGTGAGTCCATGAGTGAATGTGAAGAGCAGGACATTTGCTGCACATTCTTGTGTTCTTTTTAAACACTGGACACGTAGGCTACACCAAGTGCATTTAAAATAATTGTCTTCCCTGAATAGTGTTAGCTTTAGTTTACTGGAACAATTTTACTTTTAAAACTTTTACATTTTAAAACTTTTTTTTCACTTTGACAATAAAAGTTTAAAATACAAACTTATCAAATCATCAGATTATATGAAAATATTTTCTTTATATTCTTATTCTATAAGCTTTTTTCTATTTAAATTTTTTTTAATGTTTTAAACTTTTTGTTAAACACTGGACAGCTGCACCTGGTGGCACATGCCAAGCTTTATGGGAGGCTGTGGCAGGAGGATCTCAGTTTGAGGTCAGTCAGTTTCTCTAGACCCTGTTTCAAAATAAAAATGTAGCAAAGGTTAAGGATGCAGCTCAGTGCTACCTAGGTTCAATGTCTAGTAGCAGGAACAACAGTAATAATAACAACAGCAACAGTAGCACCCTAAGACAGGTTAGCCAAGGGTTACACAGGATCAGGACTGTCAATATCGTTCTCTTTCACCTCTGTGTCTTGTCCCACTGGAAGGTCTTCAGGATCATGCATGGACTGACATCTCCTATGATAACAATGTCTCTTCCTAGAACCTCTCCTGAGGGATCTACCTAAGACTGTTTTACAGATAACTTCTTTTTTTAATGCGTAAAAAGAGCAAATTCCAAAATAATTAAAAAAGTACAGTACAGTAATACACAAGCCAGTAACATTGTCACTTATCATTATCAAGCATCACCTACCATAGATAATTGTATTTGCAACACTTTTATATGACCGGCAAAGCTGTGGGTTTTTTTTTTTTTGTTGTTGTTTTGTTTTGTTTTGTTTTGTCTTTTTCATTTTTATCGGTACCAAGTTTCGAACTCACGACTGCCTGCTTGCAAGGCAGGTGCTTATGCCGCTGAGCTAAATCCCCAGCCCAAAGCTGTGGGTTTGTCTATACCAATATTGCCACAAATATATGAGTAATGCGCTGTGACACTGCGGCTACTATAGTGTCACCAGAAAATAGAAAATTTTAAGCTGCATTATAATCATATAGATCTATCCTTCTATATGAAGCCTGTTGTTTGCTGAAACCTTGTTGTGTTGTGCACAGCTGTATCTTTCTCCATCTGGCTTTTATTTGATCTTTATTTTTTACTTTCTGCCAGCTGCACACC